TGTTTTGGTCGACACAGGATGTTTCTGGGTGGGGGGGGAGCTTGTGTGTTTCTTCCAGCCAATCACAACGTGCGCAGGTGAGTTTAGAATTAGATACAATACAGCAATTGGACCCAATTCAAACCGGCAAATATGACGGACACAGATGTTGGGGCGAAGAAGAGGAAAATTTGATCATAGTGAGGCGAAAAACTTTGAGGTTCTTCCTCGTTCCAAAAAGAAGAAGAACCTTGTGTTGGCTTTCACCCATGGCCGTTGAGTTGGCCTGCTTTCTGTTGGACAGGCAGGTGCCAAACACCGGCTGTTAGCTTGTGCTAGCTTGCAGTGTTAGCAGCAAACGTACACGCTAACCCTGAAGTGAGTGTGCGCTTCTGGGGGTGATGAGCCTAGGACATGGTGCCTAGTATAATTTTGTGTTTACAAGCTGCAATGAAAAATGGCTACTGACTCTACCTTTAAATGAAAAGTCACTTTAGCAGTGAACATGCAGACTCTATAAAAAGTTTTTTTTATTTTTTTTTTAATATTTTTTTTTGGGCTTTTTTTGCCTTTTAATTGCGAGCTAGGACAGTGGATAGAGTCGGAAATCAGGGAGAGAGAATGGGGAATGACATGCGGGAAAGGAGCCACAGGCCGGATTTGAATCTGGGCCTCCCGCTAGTATTTTAACGACTAACTTTCACAAACATAAATATAGAAAGTTTACAGGAAAACAGTAAATGTACTGATGAGTAGAGCCTGGCACAGCTCACTCATGTTCGTCTCAGTCACCCCCTCAGATAAGTCAGTCTAAGCTGATGGCCTGTGGGCAAAGATTTAAAGCGGATAAACGGAAGAGGACAAAGAACTGAAGCCTTGTTTTTCCCGCCGTAATTACACTGCTTGATTTGCATATGAAATGATGGAGCTGCTTGGGCCCGTAAAAGTGCTCTGTTTTTGTACTGACGTTTTTGAAGTTGACTAAGTTAGAGATTACCTTTAGTATTGCTTTTCATTTTACTGTTGTGATTCTCTGCTACTGTTTTTTGTGTTTAATTGTATGTTTGATCTCAAATGAATCTGCAAAGCAAATTGTATCAGAACCAAGAGGTTTTTTTTGGAGTTTTTCGGTTGTACAAAAACAAATTTGATTGCCTTATGAAAATATGATAGAAAAATCAATAATCCCCCCGGTAAAAAAAATCACACTGTGACATTTAGCTGGTAAAACAAACACAGAGACCTGTTACAATTCAAACCACCTTTTGCTTTTATCTTACATAAGGTGGCTCTGGCATTCCCAGTATAGTTACTACTATTCCAACAACACACTTCCACTATTGCAGATAAAAGCCACTCTTTCTGTGACTGAGTTAAAGCACTACCAGGGAAACTCATTAACAATTAAAAGCATCACTGAGGTGGAGCGTGCAATGCAACAGGTGCTCATTGCATCACAGCTGCATTGTGTGTGTTTGAGTGATCACTATAGGTTACGCTACAGTACTACATGATCATACAGGCCTGTGTGGCTAATGAGGGGTGAGGCCTTTAAGGGGAACGATCAAACTGAAGGTGGTCTGTAATTAACTGTTGTTTGAATTAAAAACAACACTATACTCTCTATCTTCACATCTTTCTTTCTCTCTCTATATCCGTCTATCTCTCTGTCTATCATATTTATACATCTGTAAATACATCTCATATCTCCTGTTGCTGTTGTCTCTTTCTTGTCTCCCTCCCTCTCACTTATTATTGTGTCTCTCTCTGCCCATGGTGTCCTCACTCGCCTCCCTCTCTCTCTCTCTCCCTCCTCGGGACAGCAGATGGAGACTATGGCCCAGTTCTGTCTTTTGTTCTGGGTCCCTAGAGAGAGCCATGGCTTTTTGGACAGCACACAGCTCGGCTCCCCATATCTCATGTAAAATGCAAGCGCCTTTCTTTTTATACAAAAAAAAAAAATGGAAGCAGTGGAATGCACAAATTCTGAATTTATTGAAATGAGCATGACTACAGAGCCATAAAACGTATGAATTAAATCATTCATGTCCCTCTGACTGTAGCAGTTTCATTCTCTCTGTACAGTATTTGGCTGCACATTTGTCTCAACTTTATAGTTTTAGCTTAATGCACCAAAATTCCATCAGGCCTATATTTGCCAAAAATAGTGAGTAAAAAATAAATTCCTCTTGACATTATTTGAACCTCTGAGCAGCTCACCTGTTCATGCAACGATAGGGCATGATTTTTTATTTTATTTTACTTTTCTTTAAAAACAAAAAGGTGCAACAGCTGTGAGAGTCAAGACAGTTTGCAGAACGTGCATTATCTTTTCTTTTCTTCTCTCACACTCGACAGCATAAACACGCGTCAGTGCATCTCGGGTTCTCTTTAACTCCACCTCACTGTTGTTGTTTGTCATAACGTCCGTGCATAAATAATTAATACGCGTGAAACAGTGAAACCTCCACCTGACCAGCATCCCACCTGTTGCAGATTTTTTTTCTTCCTCCGGCTTTCACTTCCTAAAGCTACGAGAAAAACAACACGAACAAAGCAATATGCATAGTGGAATTTAAGAGCTCTAGATATTGATATGACAATACTGTCATTTTTCAAAAGCCCACAATTATCAGTCTGACTTCTTATCTGTACAGCTTTTACAGATGGTTTAAAAAATGTAAATGAAATATTTTCGTCCATAAAGGTGCATAAGTTTATCCTCTTAGTGGTTGGATCCAATCTGTCTTCCTATTTGAGCCTTGGTTGTCATTTTAAATATAATTTCGAAACCATAATTATTTCCCACAGCTATATTTTCCATTAGACAGCAGTACTTTTTGGCTTTTTGTATCCACAGCGTCTCTCTAAAATGTTTACAGAAACTTCATCCCCTTTCACCGCAAGACGAACTCGCTGCAGATGCCAGTCTACAGTTCTACCTGCATAAATCGTGTGAATTATTTAGCACGGCATGCTCATTATATTTCTCTTTATTCCCTGCCTTCATGAGGCGAGCGAAGGGGCAGCGACTGTGATTGGCTGCCAACAGTGGGTGGGAGACAGGGCAGTGACAGGTAGCAAACAGGTAGTTCTACTACTTTCATGAATTATTTCGAAGTATTTAGATGATTCGTACCACGCCCTGGTGTCTGCAAAGTCAAATTAGCCTAAGTTTTGAAAATAAGAAGAAGAAGAAGAAGAAGAAGAAGAAGAAGGAAAGAGGTTATCTCACGCAGGCAGACTCTGCGTGAGCGTGCGTCCATATCCACATGAACGTATTTGTTCAAGTTGATGGAGAGAGAAAGAAAAGAGAAAGAACAGAGGAGGAGGTGTTCTGACGTGTGTGTGTGTGTGTGTGTGTGTAGCTCTTTCTTTAGTTGAGAAAGTGTGTTCCCTCTCGAGTCAGGTCCTCGGGGACACGGTGGGGACCCGCGAGCGCTCACCAGCTGACAGCGCGTGCTTCACTGAGGCCATCCAACACCTCGGCCCACGAGCCTGCCAACAATAGCCTGAAATTAATGCATTCTCCCCATTACGAGAACTGGTATTCACCATTCTCCCCATTACGAGAACTGGTATTCACCAAATGGACGAGATGGCAAGAGTTCAAGAAGACAAAAGAAAAAAAAAAACTTTTCCCCAAGTGAGGAGAAGATTATTGCAAGTGGAGTAACATTGTGAGATAATTTAATGCAGCGTATTTCTCTGCGTAAAAGAAACACAAAACTCAAACTGGACTGCAGGCCAGGGGGCGCGTGCACATGCAGCATATGGCTAGCGAGCGCGTGTAGGACACGTTTCACGTTGCTTTAAGTTTACTATAAATTACATAAGAGGAGATCAAGTGTTACGAGTTTCTGTAATTAAATGGAAATGCCTGCTGGTGTTTTTAAAAATGTAGGCTGTAGATCAGTATCTTATAAAGAGTAAAAACACACTTTGAACACTTTAAAGATCCACAAACCAAGAACCTGATGATACTGATTTTACTTATTTAAAACTTTGTCAAACAACGTTATAGATAATTGTTATTAAGTCATTTTACTAAAGTGCCTGTCTTACTTTTGCACAAGTTATTTGTATTAATACTTTAATGCGTGTTGTTATCTAACGCCATTGACAGTATTATTATATTCGTATAATGTTAATTATAATAATGAAAATAAAGATTTCCAAAAAAACAAATAAAGGCCTCCTTTAAAAAATAATAGAAACATGCTCTTTTTTGCCAAACTGACTTCAATTATAAACACATCACATCTAACCGATTATTATTATTATTATTATTATTATTATTATTAATAGTAGTAGTAGTTGGCCTATTAGGAGCAGTAGTAGTCATTTTTTTTATTACTTGTATTATTACTTTTTACCACGTTAGTTATTATTATTATTATTATTATTATAACTATTATTGTTATTATTGGGTGTTGTGTTAATGGTAAAGGCTATAAGTAATATTATGGGTTTTTTTTTGCTATTGGAACATTTTAGGTGGAAAATTTGAATGTTTTATTTTTGAAATAGTGTTTCAAAAGTTCCTTTTAATAATCGAAAAAAAAGATGAATTCAGACAACAGTGACAAGGAACACGTTACGTTTAGTTTTCTTTTTTATTCTCAAAATCAAATAAACAAAACAATAAATGGCAAAACGATAGCTTTTCTCAACAAATGCAACTATTGAGTTATAAAAAGCAAATCAATTAAAACATAAGCAATAAATATCAATGTCAATTAATCTCATCCAGTGAAAGCAAAAGACACACCAGTTCAACTGAAGATACAAAAAAGAAAAATACAAAAGAAGGCAGCAGTGATGGCTACATTAAATAGGCTATTTGTCTGGAATTGGCAGTACTACACTAGAAAACAAAGAAAAACAATATTTTATTTATGGTTTGAAAACAAAATCGCATTTCTCAAGCCTCTGGCTCGTTTGTCTTTATAAAGTGCACATCATGAACTTTTGAAGTTGCAAAACTAAATACATTATAAAACAATAAATCACAACAAAAATTATTTTAGCTACAAAACTGTTTTCAAAATAACATTTCAGCAATTATCCATAAAGATATGAATTTGTGGAAGACAGCTTTTTGGTCGGAGTGACGTGGGAGATACCCATGGCAGTGCTGCGCGCGACATGGCAGAGGGGTCTTCCAGCCACGTCTCCATGGAAACTAGAAATTATAGGATAAAGGCCTTCATCTCTTGGCAGAACCGAATTAGGCCTATCACACTTTAAAAAAAAAAAACATTTTTAGATTAGGCTACAAGTTGATAAAATAGGCTTTGATTGTTGTTTCAAATGTAATGACGTTTATGAAGAAGCTTTTTATCTCCTAAACCACTTTTTTGTTAGCAACATAGAGAATAAACTGTGTTGACACCATTTACAGAATGCTTAAATGTTGAGCTCTAAAGTGGAATTAAAATAAAGTCTGTTATTCTTGTTTTGAAGCGTTCAGAAAGAAACGTTGTGGTGAGGGTGGTCGTCTTCTTCACTTGAGTGCAGCTCCATCGCTATTTCATCCGAGTCACTGAAGTGGGAGTGGGGGGAGAACTCTCCGTCGCTCCGGGGAGACGCTTTCCTCCCTCCTGCCCGGCTGGAGGACGAAGGAGAGGGCGAACGCATCGCTTCTTCCACCATGGCAGAAAACGAACAGTCGTCGAATGAGGAGCGAAAAGGCATCCCGCTGATGTGGACAGGTAAGCTGCTACCTGAGACGGGCACAGGAGACGGAGAAACCCTGTCCTTCGTCACGTCTAGTCCAACTGCGGATAAAGGCATGATGTCACACTTTGGCGAGTTGTTGTTGTTGTTTTTGTTGTTTGACGCGTCGTTATTGCTGTTTTTGTTGTTGGAGGAGACCGGACCTTCAAGCAGATCAGCGAGAGCGTTGATGTAAATCTGCGCCATCTGTAAAGTCTCATACTTGGAGAGCTTCTTGTCATTGTCAAACGCCGGGATGACGCTGCGCAGCTCGTCGAACGCGTGGTTCAGCCCGTGCATCCGCCGTCTCTCGCGCGCGTTGGCGGCCACGCGCCTCTGTTTGTGGACCCCACCGGTGGATTTGCTGGACGGGGCTCTCTGTCTCGTGTCCACCTCGGGCCCGGTGACCATGCCTTTGAGACGGCACAGATCCCTGACTTTGATGGAAGAAGAGGAGGGGCTCTTGGCAGTTTTTCTGTAGCTGGGAGGGCTGGGATGGCCAGAGGACCCCGGGGAGCCACTCTCTGAAAGATGGAGAGACACATTTAGGCTACTGAACTGGAATGGTTTGAAAACAAATGAATAAAAAGTGCTTTATTTTAGGTATTTAATGTGCCTTACATATGAATAACATGAATCTTATAGTAAGAAAATGCAGTTTACACTTTAGCTCCCTGTAAAATAAAATAGTGTTCTTCCAATTTAGACAGACAATACGCCCTAAAGAACTTAAAGTACTTCTGCATATCCCAAAGGACCTATGCCTGTTACATGCAGAAAAATGCTTACTGCTATAAAAGTATAGTCTATATGAGCAAGCAAAGTTTCTCACCTTGGTAGGAGCCGGTGCTTGAGCTTGGCGAGTGGCGCAGGTATTCTGGTGAAGTGTCGTGTGCCGCGCAGGTGCCAGAAGGCTGCATGAGAGCCAGCCAGGCGCGTGGGTCAATGCCGCTGTCCACGAGCGTCAGTCCAGGTTCGTAGCGGGACTCCTCGAGCTGCTGCTCTCCCCCCTTCTTCATCACTCTCTGGCTCTGCTGCTTCAAGTCGAGCACTGCCACCTCTTGTGCGCCTTTGCTCCACTCTTCCATCATTTCAACATCCATGTTTCCAAGAGCGTCAAAGAAGGCAGGCCGATGTGAAGTTACAATCGCTGAAAGTTTTTTTTGTTGTTGGGAAAACTTCTTGAAGGCACGCTATGACTATGACTGTCGCGTGCGGGACTCCTTCTCTGGTGTCTCGCGGCGCGGCGTCCGTTTAAAAAGCGGCACGCGTCCGGGAGCCCCCCTCCTCGCGCTGGTCGCGTGTTGACGTCCAATGAGAAGTCTCGTTAAAGCTCGAGAGAGTTGATTATGGGTCCCCCCGAAGTCGGACTGTTTATGATAACGTTACAATTTGAGGAGTGTTTAACGCAAAGGGAGGTAAGGGGAACCTCCCACAGGACGCACGTGCATGGGGTGGTGACGGTTTTAGGTATGGAGCGTGGACAGCGCGAGACGTGCGCTGCTGTGACAGAGTTACTACCTGTCCACATCTGAGACACGAGAGAGGCAGGGGGAGGAAAGTGGGGGTTATTGCTCAACTGTCTTTACTGTATCCCACATCGCATCTCCGTAAACGTTTGTGTCCCTCTGGACGATGAAGCCCAAAACCACGTTTAACGTTTTCAATCCAAAATGTCAAGTCAGGAATAATAAGGAAGAAATACAAGGAAGATCACAAATCAACCACAGGTGTTAAAAAAACTGAAAGGAGAAGTACCCCAGCCCCAATCGGCACAGAGTAGCTTATATTAGGCTTCATCTCAGCACAAACGAAAATATAGCAAGGCCCTTTCATCCATCAAAAGTGACTAATGCAATGAACAAGTTGTAGAATGAGGGAGGAAAATAACGTGGGCTCATGATACTAAAGATCAAAAGTCAGCTGGAATTAAAAAAAAAAAAAAAAAGGATGGTTAAAAAGTTTTCGGCTCCTGGGGCTCGCGCGCTCATTGTCAATTCATTCAGTCTGAGATGATCTCCAGTTTCCATTTTTCTTTTGTAGGGGCTCTAAAAACCTTTTGATGTGGTCCTCGGAACGCCCTGTCGGTAAAAAGGGCTTCACAGGGAACGGAAACATGAGCAGGGGTCTCGTACTGACACGAGCTGTATGTGGTGCGCAGTGGCGACTGTAAGCATTGAGGAGAAAGTATATACACACACGCACACACACGCACACACACACACACACACGCACGACCTGTAGGCTACTATACAGCAGTGATAATAAAGGCCTACGTCTTATCTTATTTCCAAAATGTAGTTATTTTACCCTGATCTGATATCTGAATACCGTTTCAATTCATTAGGCAATACGTTTTATTGAGATCTGAAATAGGTCAAAGGAAATGGATGTAGACAATAAAAATAAACTACGAATTATAGCTATTAAGTGAACCACCTGTAGTCTACTGATCAAAGCAACCACGCTTAATGAGACGCAAACTGAAGGCCTTACCTGGCAAATGGACAATGGGCTAATTGCTGGGTGGTCATATAGCCATTTAACCTAATTGCCACGGTCGATTAAGGCTAAGAAGGATACAATCCGCAATACAGGATAATAAGGTAAAATGGTCAAGGAGGGCAGTATAGCCTACCTGTTGCATCCCCCTCCAAGTCCCTGTTTTCGGGTGACGTAGTAACCTAATCAGTCAATTCGCACCAAACGTCACAAAATAGCTTGAAATAAGTAGCCTCATGACCACAAACACAACATGTGAACTTTGACACAGCAGTTGCGCTTTAATAGGCCTAAGTTCATTCTTAAAACTATATGGGCTTTTGGTCCATTTTCTGAAACGACACGACACCTATGGTGTGAGAAAACATCATTCGTGTGAAAAAAAATCCCATAATTTCAGAGATATTTCGACATCAATCTTTGCTATTTTTTATTCATGTATTCATCATGGGGACGTCTTGCAGGCTAGAGGTCTGGCGCCGAGAGTTCGCCCCCTCGTCCCACCTACAAGTCCCCCCATCCAACGGGCCGGGGCCGGGCTCCTGAAGCTACCGACAGGTTGGATATTGTAGCTGGCGATTATTAAAGTGTCGCAGCCACAATAGAGACTCTATGTTCCATTGGACACGCCTGGGGGGCTCCCCGAGGGGGGAGGGGGAGGGGAGGGGAGGGGAGCTCCCATTCCAATGCGCGCGAGGAGTCTACGTGCTGCCGCTTCTCTTTCCCGTCTCCTGGGAGACCGGGGCGTGACGGGCACGAGACTGGAGTGAGGAGAGCTGGACAGGGGTTTCAAAATGATACTGTGTCCTTCACTAAGAGTACTGAATCCATGATGTTGTCTTTGGTGACGTGCCAAAACAAACATCACTCTGAAGCCTCAATATGTGTCTCATATGACTTAAATAACTATTTAGGCCTAATGAGCAACAGATAGGCCTCTATAATATTCTAATTTTAACACTGCTGCCATTTGATTAAAGCTGTTTCAAGTTACTTTGATTTAAAAAGATATATCTGTAACAGCCCAGTCACCTTACTGCTGCTTGCTATGTGCTTGTTGTATTTTAAGTGTTGATCAGTGCAGCACAATTAAAGCCTGTGCAAAAGTATGGAAAAAAAAAAATCACACTTTTTTGATTAAGTAAATTTTCCTGGCGTGCTAATGTTGTCTATGTCCATTGAATGGTCCATTTCTATTGATTAGGGTTATAGTTAGGCCTATGTATCTTTTATATTGTGGTATCATGTCTCATGATAACTTCAAAACATTTAAATACAATTACATTTTACTTAAAAAAAACAAAAGAAAAAACATACAAAAAGGCTCCAGGTAGTATACCCATAACAAACACTTTGGGGATAACGATAAAGAGGATTGAGGCTTCCATCAGATGCCAAATATCTCTTTATACAATAACGACAACATTTGTAGTTTGACTTCTAGTCAGCTGTTACTCAGATGTCTCAAAGTATCATCAACATCTGACATCTAACTTTTTAATTACATTTTAAATATTTTTTTGTAAACATCTGCCATTCATCTTGTTGTGCAGCACAAACTGAGTCAGGTAGATTTGGGGGCTAAACAGTGCCACCCCCTGGTTAAAATGGGGAGCTACAATGTAGTGCTCCACTGAACTTGACAGCAGCCTTCCTCAGCAGTGTCTCTATCCAGCTGTTAACAGCAGCATGCAGGCCTTTGAAGTGATAGCCTATTTGAAGTGAAAGACACAAAAGCTTAGCTCATGCTTGAACTTAAAATCCATTCAATACATAAAAACCTTCCTGATCACCTAAACTCATTTCAATGTTTTTTTTTTAATTCACCCCTTAGCTTAACTTCCAAGAAAAGTTCCCTATTTAATCTTTTCACCTTAATAGTTTAATAATACATAGGAATAAATGGTTTTTCATCAATTATTAAATAATACAATGTCAGCATTAATAATAAAATCAACTAGTGCATTTGTTCTCGATCAACTGGCTTTGAACATGAAAAGATCTAAATTGCAGAGGCATGCAGGTTAACACTCTCCTCTCATTTCTGTCTCAAAGGTGATGCTTCTCATGCAGGTTCAAGCATTAAAACTGGATTTTTATTGAGACATTTTGAATCAACAAACAAGATATCCATAGCTGCTGATTGAAGAATGTTGATAAAATCAACAACAACAACATTGCAATTAGCGAACTTGTTTTAAAAATCAAACAAGTACTTACCCGTGTCTCTGTCAGCTGTCCAGTAATTAGAGCCTTGCAGAGAATGTGTGAGCACTTTACTTGGAAAAGTAGATCCTCTTCTCACAATACAGACAGAACACTGCTGTGAGGGAAAACATGATAGCATTCTTTCCAGTTCTATGTGTCCATGTGTCACCCATACCAAAGTACATTGACTCTGACAGAATTGAAAAGAAATTACAAAAGTTTGTCGTGAACACAGAAAGGAGTGAACCCCTTATTAGCACAATTTAGAGCAGAAGTCACTATCGCTTACAAAATATGATTATGTTAGAATTCTGAATTTGAATACTGTTTAATAAATGTAAATTAATAAATGTTTGTCTAGCAAAAACAACAGATACCATCCCACTGTAGAAAACCTGTTTATTAGACAAATTATACACAGAAAGCTTTGCCACTTGTAACAGAGGCCCCAGTTTGTTCAGTTTTTGAATAATATGCAACACATACAACAAAATAGGCCTATATTAAATACTGTACATCATAAAGTTTTGAAAATTATCAAGTAAATCCTGTAGTTCTATGTCTGAAATTAAAAAATGTTAACAGATAGCGCAAGAGCAAGTTTGTGCATGCTTTCTTTTTCATCAACTTGCCGCTTTTTGTTATTTAGCCAGCAAATCATAAAATGAACTCAAGATGACGTGAGAAAAGCCGAGTTTGTGTCTTTATGTGTTTAAGTCGACCATGGGCAGAGAAAGGGAAACCAAATGCAATAATGTGGCTGCTAAACTCAACACTAAAGCTCGTCATGATATACTCTTTTTTTCTTTTTGTTAAACAAAAATAGCATCAACATGTAAAATATACATTTGTATAATGTCTCTTTCATTTATACTAAATAAAACCTTTTAAATGTCTGTGTCCTATTTGTCATTCAGTAGCCATACTGTAGCCTAATATAAGAAAAGAATGCCTAAGAATGCTTTGCTTTAAAACACTGTGGCTTGACTGAGTTCTCTACGCACAACATTTTGCAGTTTTAGTTCTTAAAGATAACAAACCGAAAACTTGATCTAAACAACTAACATTATCAATTATTAATACAGTGTTAGTGAAAAAGATTTGGTTCCATTTAACCCCCCCGATCCACAAAATATTCCTTTAATGCTATTAACGGACCTTTTCCCTGCAACCCCCGCCCCAAAATGCACCTTAATGGTCTCATTTGAATTAATTGGCACTTTAAAAAACAAGTCATATAAACAGTACCCTTAACATTACAGACATGAAATAAAAGGATATTTCGGACTCATGGCATCAAAGGCAGCCGTTGGGTTCAGATGGCCGTTGTCTCTTCATGACATTCTGATGACCCTGAAGCACAACCACCGATTTGCTGCTCTGAAATGCTTCCAGTACACGGTGATATTTTTCGTTAGCTGGAAGTTAGGGAGGGTACAGCTAGCTAGTTGACATATAAGGCTGGTACTGAAGATGCTGCTGCGATGGCTTCTCCTCAACACACATTGAGCTCCCATCTCACCACTTGAACCTGATTCATGACCTCCGAGAATGAGCCTTTAAAAC